TGCTTATAATGAAGCCTGTGCCATGCTACATATTGTTTTCTTGCTACAGGTTCCTGCATTCTACCCCAGGTAAGAGCAGATGAGTGTGGCGAATCATAGTAGCCCATGACTTTAGCTATTTGGGAATGGCCCGACAAGCCGTTTTCCTTAATGGATGCAGCACAATCTCCTGCTACACTTGCCGTTATTCGTCCTATACGATGCTGTGTCCACAAGGTAGAGGATGCTTGTTTCTTTGTTTCATTTGCTAACAGTATCTGCTGGTGATGATTCAGTTCAAGTTCCTTGATGACATCATCGGCACTCCCCCCACTGGACTTTTGATGTGCTTCTTCGACAGTTAAGACACCTCGAGTTGTTTCAACCTCCTCCTCCTTTACATATGCATGAATGTTGGGTGTCTGGTGTGCAGGGTCTGCCTGTTGTTTGACATACATCAGCATTCCACAATTACCATTGGTAATATCTGCCAGTGCATCAATGTTAAAGGCATATACTGGCCTTTTGTTTCGATGTGCCAAAACTCTGGGCTCGAATTCTGACCTGTAATTTCTACTGGACGTTTGCTGAGTTACATCAGCCTTCACACCAACAATCTTTATGTTCTTGGCAAACTGGCAATCATGGACAGGTTGTCCCTTCTTCGGACCTTGGCCCCATGCTTGCTGCTGAGATGTACACGATGAATTCTTCCCCTGTTCCACTGCTTCAACGACTGCAAACAGGAGGCCACTGATGTGTTTGCATGTTGCTTGGATTCTGAACAAAAAAAAAGGAAGGTGTGTTTGTCACCGGTATGATGGTTATGTTGGGTGCAAACAGTCGATCTGCACTATTTATCAATGTTTTGAGAAATTTAAGACTTTACTTCCCTTTTTGAAGAAAGATTTCCATAGGCAGATGACACTAATTTTCCATGTAACGACTTCTTGGCCATCACAAAGCAGTAATACAGGTATACTCAAAAATTTAAATTTAAGATTGAAAATATCAAAGCATTTATTAAGAAAACACTTTTTCCTCTCAATGTTTTAGGCCTGTCCCAGGTTGTCAAGTGTTATCCTTCTTTGGAAATCTTTCCCTCGAGTTCGCTAAAACTGCCTGATTCTTACCCAACGCAACATGTGCACTCAGCTGTGCAGACCTGCCCTGTTTCTTTATGAAGCACTACCCATGTATAGTATGGTTGTTCTGAAGTTTTCACCTGTGGTATGACCTAAAAGAGAACAGGTAAGTAGTTATGTAGCCATCACAAAGCAGTAATACAGTCAAATTTAAAGAAATGATATCATGGCATTTACCCTGAAAAAAAAAATCTGGCCATTTCCATATGTTTATGGAAATCTTTCTAAATAACACATTGCATTGGCCCACAGCTGAAAAACACAATATAAATATGAATTCTAACCTTTCCACGAACAAAGCAGTAGCATAGATTAGAGCTGATGCCGTGGTATTGCAGGGAATGGATGTGCCCTGACATGTAGAGACTCTTCCCAAGGGCCAGCGTTCTTCGTCCTTCGGTTTTTATTAGGCCAATCCTTCGGTTACCTACACACACAAGAAATATAGGCCTCCAATTGTTGACATGGTCGAATAATAAGTAGGGCGTAAGTAAACTACATGTGTACAGTACTCGGTGCAGTAGGCCCCTTGGCTTAAATGTTCTAAGTGTTCATTTAACTGGCACCGGCATCATTTTAGCAAATGCTGTTCTGCCGTTCCCTACCTCTGATTGGCAAATTCTCAATACACCCCTGGCGACAGTTTAGTGAAAGAATGCCGGAAGGCTGGCATGATGTAATGAGAATTGAATAATCAGAGAAGGAAACGGCCATGAGGAGTGGTAAAACAGCATTTAATAGAAGGATGCTTGTGCCAGCTAAAAATAGGCCTACACCTACACTGCCACGACTGCCTATAATTGTATAAATGATATTTTGCAGAAAATAGTATGTTAGGCCTACTAACAAGAAATCCATTTTCTATATCTTGATCTTCACACTGCACAAAATCTGGCTGTTAACGTGCAGTCTCTCATGCATCGCCCCCATTACTTAGATTTATCTAACATTGCCTTGAAATTTTTCACATCTGGTGCTGATTTAGGCCTAGTTGCAGATGGCAAAGTATTCCACTCAGGAATGGTCCTTGTATCAAAATTTGCCTACCAGCTTTTATATAACTGTCGAGCTGATCTCTGTTAGTATCAGGCAGGCTTGAAGGGCCCTCCTCCCATCCTTCCAGAAGCGTCTCCGGACGTGGTAGATGAATTAGCCCACCATCGAAAACCAACTTGTCACGCTGTGACCTTTCAATTTCCTGCACATACTCCTTGTCTGTTGGTTTTGCAGTCAAGCCTAACTTTTCTGCCCAAAATGCCTTTTCTGCAAGCTCTGACTGAGCTTCGTCTCCATTAAGCGGTACGTTTCTTTCACGCAAAAAACGTTGCAAATCATCTACCTTCATAGAAATAAAGCTACCAGCATTTGTCATACATGTCATTGTCATACCTGTTTTTTATCGATCTGGCTTTAATTTTCGCGCTCGCGCGTAACTAAGACTAGAGAGTCTGTAGTTACGGTAGTTAGTTCGACCCAGATGTATCCCATGATGCTTTGCGGAAAGCGCCCTCTCGTGGTGAAAATGCTAATTGCGATATACCTTATGATCAGCTGTTACTGATAGTAACGTTAGTCTCCATGGTAGTCATAAGGGCGCTAAGGGGGCCACTCAAAACGTTAAATGTTTTTAAATTTTGACTTTTTTCGAAATGGTGGGTGGGTCAAGGATATAAATCGAAAATCTAGATTTATTTTTCATATTAAACTCATGATCTGCTGAATCACATAGACTTGGCACGGAACACCGAAAGTCCCCTTT